AAAATATGCTTAGCAAGCATAAAAAGAATTTGAATCCGGATCGAAAAATATTTTTGTATGCGGGTCATGACGTTACGCTAGTCAATGTAATGAATTCTTTAAATATCTTAAGTCAAACTGCAAAATTACCCGAGTATGCCTCAGCCTTGGTATTTGAATTGCACCATAGTTCATTATTTAAAAATGATTTTGAGGTCAAAGTAAGTCTCATCTCAATATTAGTAATGCGTTCTCTGAGTGGCTTAACATTGTGTATTTTACAGATTGTTTATTACTACAATAGTGATGACAAATTTCCCAAAGAATTAAGTATACCCAACTGTGATGCACCTTGTTCACTGACCCAATTCAGTGAATCAATCCATTCTTTACTTTTGGAAAATTATGATGAAACATGTGAGAATCCAGCGGCAGATTGCAAAACTTAATTAGAATTAAAATTATTTATTGTTAACAAAAATATAATTTGTTTGTTTTAAATTAATTAATTTATATTGTTTAAAATGTATTAATTTATATTGTTTTATATATTTTAATTCGTACGGTTGTAAAAATAAATATTTAAATTAAATGTGCTTTAAAAGTTTAATTTTCTAAAAAATTAATATCTAGAACCTTTATCTTCAGCATAAAGAAAGTATATTGGCACTTGGCTACGATCTGTCATGTAAACCATTTCTGTGTGACTGATGAGATGTATTGCCGCAATTCCATAAAACAACATAGGTAGACCTTTAATGAAAAAAAAAGCTTTTTAGAAATAATAATAATCAGTACATGAAATAATGTATATAATGAATCTAATAACATAATAAATTTACTTGTAGATTTCTACACTCGGATCACAAAATTTGATATGTAGTGGGTAGACCATTATTTTCTAAATAAACGGTTCTAAAATTTTCTAAAAAATGTTATTACAATTATAAAACCGTTATGTTTATTTGGGGTTTAAAGAATTAGTGCATACACAATTTATGAACATTTGTTTACTGTGTCAACGGTGACCCCTCAGTTTGAGAAACTAAGTTGAAGATTGGGTACCCAACTCAGTATAGCAAACGATGCCGGGGTATATATCTGTACTTAAAACAGGGATTAGGCGTTAAATTATAGCTGGATAAACTGATACATATTCTCCTCAAAATTCATAAAAGATTTGGCTAACAATTAAGAACGGATATACTAGTAACGAAACGAAACGAACATGGCAAAAAGGTTTCAGGAAAGACCAGGTCTAAGGTCTGTACTACGTCTGTTACTGCTCGTAATAGCGACTGTACTAGGAGATCTTAATATTAAGACTGCTTAGAGACTGAAAAGAATAGAAAATCCGATCATGGGATGAACTATTGAGTGATTATAATGATGTTGATGTTTTGTTTTAGTATCAAAACTACAAAGTGCATATGAAATATTCTAAAAAACAAACCATATATATGTAACTATGTTTGTAGTATTTGTATCACATTGATCTTGAGATCTTGAGACATATGTATATATGTATATATGTATATCAATAATAACTTATATTGTATATCAGTCGTATAAAGGCACTTTGAAAATTGTGCTATATCACAACAAAATAAAAATAACTATATTTTTAGAACTTATTTATAAATTAATAATTAAGTTTACCTAAATTTATAACTTTTAAAAAACGAAAAAATTTGTCTTCTAATCCTAAGTCCTGCACTTCACGTTTACTGCAATGATATTTCATATATGGATAGCAACCGGTGCGTAGTATGTGATAATTTGTGCCAGTATCTAATGTCCAATTAAAGTGTGACATGCCGTGTTGATCGTTCTCCACATCTCTAAACTAAAAAGTAAATAACGAAATGATTAAGTAATATAAATAATAATAGTTTTATTACATCACAAACCTTTACAAAATAAGATGTCCACGGTGGTTCATTACATTGTTTTAAATATGCGGTCAGTACTTCAGATGCTTTTGGTTTTAATAATATTTGCGTTATTCTCATATTATTTATTTATTAATTTTTATAATATTGTTTCATAGCACACATTTCATATTAAAAATATATTTATTATTTTAATTTAAAGAAAAAGTTGTAAACAATAATCAGCTGTTTGGTTGTCAAGGAAATGTCAACAAACTATGTTTTTCTTACATACTGTATATTTGCAAATGCGCGCTGTTACTTACAGTGAGGTTTAATATTACAGGTCGAAGTAACGAACGACACTGTCTTAAATTCATCAATATTTGTTTTTTTGTCGCTTTTATGGAATTATATATATTTAAAATTGACAGATTATGTTGAATTTATTATATTTGTTATCATACATACTTATAATTTTATATGTACAAAATTTTAAATAATGGTAAGCTTAAACTAATAGTATAATAATTAATTGAAATGTATAATTACATTCAGTAATAAATTTTGTTAATTTTGCAAATCACAGTTGAAATAAAATAGTTTGAGAATAAAAGAATTGCAAAATAATTCAAATTATATAAATAATTGTAACTTAAATTATTTCCATAGTTTGATAGCACCATCCCGCGCTGCTGATGCTATATATATTTGTCCTTTATCACTTTTGCACATCAGTAAGTCGGCAATTGCGTCTTGATGACTGGCTGATGGCATGTCTGGGCCAGATCTTGGATTTTCTTCAGCTGACACTCGCAAGGCATTCATGTCAGTATTATTACCAAGCGAAATAATATTTTCCTCTATAACGTGACTGCCATCAATCAACCGTGTACTGAAAATATACAGCATTATTTTTAATTACTGTGATTATGGTGTATATAAGAAGAAATCAAATTACTTATAATTGAATGTAATATCATTTAAATTATCCTTCGGCGATGGCACAACCAATGCTGAGCTTTTGGGGTCACATAAATTCCAGAACCGTATACGTTGATCTGAACTTCCAGTCAGAATAAAAGGCGAATTGTCTACAACACCACTTAAGACACCACATGTTGTTGCCGGATCGTTCTGTATATATACATATATAATAAGAATAATTTAAGACATATGTATAACTTTTTTATATTTACAATATCTTACCATACTAGTGTTGGATAATGGAGGTGCTGGACTAGCCCAGAGTACAGTTTGTCTATGATTTGTTTCTATATTCCAAATCGAAACTTCATTATTAGATTTTGAAGCTGATATTAAGCAGGAAGGCTCTGTAGGATGGCAAGCTACTTTACGTATCCAAGAATCTGAGGGATGTTTTATTTCTGCAATAGCTAATCTAAAACGTAAGTCCCAGCATATATGTTTGCCACCACTGGTACCAGTAGCAAGCCAGGAACCTGTAGAGTCAGCACATATTGTTGTAATCACTCCATGACGTAGTTCATTTTCTAAACGCCAAGCACATTGTTGTATGCGTGTATCCCAAGCTACAATAGCGCCGTATAGTGTGGCATATATAATAATATTAGGTGACGTGTGATCATAGGATACCATATCTACTACAGGGCCATCACTGTGTTCACTGCAAATATTAAAATTTATTAACAAATTGTCTATATAAATTTGTCTGAGTTACTTTTGATTTAAATGGAGTGCTTGTTGTAAGGTCATCTTTGAAGAATTTCTATCGATACGCATTATAAGTAGACTTCCATCCTTTCCACCAACTGCCAATGATTGTCCACCATCACAGGCTGCTAAAGCATATATTGGTGTATTTGCAGAATACACTTGTCGTGACTTGTTTATGGTTTGATTGCCATTTAGTTTGTTACAATCCCACAAACGTACCGTACCATCTATGCTGCCACTAGCAAAAAGCGGACCATGTGGTTTAAGTGCAGCCAGTTTAATAACTGACTCAGAGTGTTCATGTAAATGTGCTATCAGTGTGCCATTCATGCGCCAGTTATTCGGGTAGGGAGAATTTTGTTTACCATAATTGCCTCGCTGTGCAATGGAACTATAGCGCGTTTTGATTTTATTTCGCATTGATTCAAGATCCTTTCGACATTCTGAAGGGCGTTCTAAAGAGCGTGAAGAAAATAGGTATTTCAGTGTTGTAAAAATTATTTTATTAAATTCAGTTACCTTGCCAGTAGTTACGTTCAGGCATTGTATACTCCCCTAAAGATGTTGCCGCACTTAATAAGTTTTGTTGGCCGCCTAATAGTAGCACCCCAGATGCTGGACTTCCAGCTATACCACCGATAGGTGAACCATTTCCATCAGATGCTGGCGATGCTAAAATTAGAGAAATACCATCGGTTATGCCTTTAATTTATGCTTAAACATTTTTGCAATATTTACGTGTTTCTATAGGTAATTTGGATTTTTTTTCTGCTAGCGGATAGTCATGACAATTCACTTTTTTACGACTTATTACAATGCGCCCATTGCCTGAGGCTGGCTCATCAACATCCAGCTGTGACTTATGTTTAAGCTTAAGTAAGAACGGTTTCATAGCAAGCAATATCATTTCCAGTATGTCATTCAAACCTTCAGAGCTCAAACGTCGAAATAGCTAATACGGAACAAAATTTAATTAATAAAAATATAAATATGTGTGTAAAAATCAAACATACATTTGTTAAAACCTGTCCCATGTCTGCATACTGTGGGGCCAGTCCAGGTCTAGTATTACGTCGTTCTTTAGCACGATTCTCTAGAGCATTTATAAATGCTTTTACATCCTGAAACCTAAAAAATATGCATTAATCATCATATATACAGTAGTTAAGTTTAAGCTAGATGTAAGCCACGCATACAGCTATTGACCTCAAGTGATACCAAATAATTTTTATCGAATAATTTTTATGAAGCATTTTAAACTAGGCTTTAAGGTTGTTAACAGGTTTCATTACAGGTCATTATGGTTTGAAATATCACCATCATAAAGTACAATTATCTGCTAATTCGGAATGCAGGTTATGCTTCGAAGATGAGGAAATTACCATGCATATTCTTTGTGACTGTCCAGCTTTAATAACGCACAGAAGAAACTTGTTTATATGGAATTTTTGAACAGAACAGATTAAGAACTCTTCTCTAGATTTAGTTCTGGACTTTGTTCACAAAGCTTTAAAGGGCTTTGTGTAATCAATAGTGAAATTGGTACAATAGGACTCTTTTGACCATAGTACCGGCTGTTAGGTGAGTTCATGGTTTAAACTTTTATTAAATAATAATAAACTACGCTTTAGTGGGATTTTAATTCAAACCCTGTGCGCTGTAGTTATAGTACATACGCATATATAATTAATATATAATTAATATATAATATATATATATTTATATATAAATAATTAGTTAATAGCAATTTCTTAAACCTACCTGAGTACACTATCATAAATCTGTCGTGGTATTGCTGGTTGTACGTAGTCCAACAATATATCGGGTTTCTCAACTTGTATCAGCGGTGTTTTTAAAAACTGTTTGATTGCTGGCATTACTTTGCATTGCACATCTATAGCACTTAATGTACGCGCAGCTGTCGAAATCATGCCACTGATTTCATGACGAATCCATAGGTTTGGATGACATAAATAACAAGCAAGTTCTTTTATAATATCTGTCACTGTAGGCTTTTTAATGTGACCCAATTCAATTAAAATTGTTACAGCACGTATTGCTTTGGCTATAACGAATTCTTCACGGTCCGTAAATCCTTGCTGTAAGAGTGGTACTAATATATCTGATGCTTGCCAACCAATATAGCCAGCAACTCCAGCAATATTATCATAAAAAGCGCCACGCAAATTTTTATCGTCGTCATTTAGAAAAGTCATTATATGGGAGAGTATTATATCGTTTGCTTCATTTTAAAAAGAAATGAATGTTATTTTAGTGTTAATATGGACATAGTGTTTTGTATCGCTTACCTTTTTCCTTTCCGAAGAATGCACATAAATCGCATATACCTGAATCCATAAGGGTTTGTTTTACTACAGGTTTTGTATCTGTTAGGAGACTAAGAACGGTTAACTGTATGATATCGTGCAATGCATTAATTTCTGCTTCATATCTCTGGGTAACCATATCATTTGGTGCATTTCGTTGGGTTTCTTCCAAAAAATAAACAGCAATTTTTGCCAATTTTGCTAAAATTAAATTAAATTTTAAGTATATTTAAAAGTTTCTTGTTTATTATAAATTTTACCAATATTTCGTGCAAATGCAACGCGTACAATAACAGCGCTAGGCTCACTGGATAAAGAAGCTATAGCAGGTAAAATATATTCCGGAAATACGTTAGCATCATTGAGCGGTATATCTTTGACCATACTTAAACAAACAGTTAATGTTTCAATAGCTTGTACCTGTACTTTAGCTGAAGAATGCTGTGCCAGGTGTAGCTGTTTAAAAATTTTTAAATGAATTTAAAACCATAAGCAGAAATAAAATTATATGCACTTACAATATAAGGTAAGATGCGGTCCAATATGGTCTCCGATGTTGTGTATTTTGAAAGTTTTTGTAATATTTCTAGGGAACAAATTTTTGAGTTTGAATGCTTCAACCCACGTATACAAGAGGTGACAACAGTTATAATTAAAATAAGTCCATCTTGTTCAGGTGGTAGTCGTAGGCAGTATAAATCATCTTTCTTTTCAGTTATGGCAAGTTGTTTAAATCCATCAATTGTTTCTTCATCAGGCGTCACATTTTGTGCATTTGTCAAAACCTTAATACAGTGGTTCATATCGGTATGTAGTGTTAAGATTTTATCATCTGCAGACATAATAGGCGTAGAGGAAAATATTTGCAAATATGATTGTAAAAACGAATAGAAATATTCCGGAAAAAGACGACCACGTTCGTCAGCCAAATAATCTTCGGCACTTTTTCGATTTATTGAATTTAAATTAATCATTGACGCTAATAAATTTCGCAAATTTTCATTATCGATGCCTTGTAAATGTTTTTCAACTAAATCGCGTTCACCACGTCGATATGCTAACAGTTGAGATAATTCAAAGGGGGCGGTACCTTCAGTCCATAATTCTAACAATGCACAACTAAATAGAAATTATTCAAACATATGAATTAATATTTATTAATTACAATATAGATGGTGTACAAACCCAGCAGAGAATATATCCATAGCTGGTAGAACAGTTGTTCCAGAATAGGGTCCTAAACGTAATATTGAGTCAGTAGGAAACATAGAAACATTTCCTTCTGGATCTTCTGATGACAACGTTTTAACGAAACGTTCTGGAGCAATGTAACAAGTACGTCTACGGCTTGTATCAAAAAAGTATGTGTAATCAGCTGGATTATCTTCCGGTAAGTACGTTGGCTTAAATGAGGCAAAATCGGATAATAAAATCCAATTCCATGATGTTATCAATATATTTTCTAGCTGTTAAAGCAAAAGTTCCAAAAGTATATTTTTTTAAATGTTTCATTACATTACCTTAATATCACCATGACATATTTTCTGTTTATGACATTGGTTTAAAGCACATAAAATTTGGAATGTAATCCATTTCTTTTCCAAAACAGTTAGAAACGGGCGTGTGGAGACGCGGTCATATAAACTATGTTTCACAAATTCTCTCATTATATATGCAGCCTTGTCAGTGAGCTGTGAAAGTAAGAACACAAATCGGCTTGAATTTTAATATATATATTGCATACAAGTAATTTAACTAACCTCAACTCTCTGAAATGGCAAACAATTTACTGCATTAGCAAGTGTTTTTTTAATATATTCCACTCTCTCTTTATAATCTTCTAAAGGTAATGTTGGATCATGTTTCACAAATACTTTTACAACAATCAATCCTTCTTCTGTTTTTGCTTTGGCTACTTTGAAAAAACGTGTGCTACCCATACTAAAGAATAAATAAATTTAGTTATTAAATTTAAAATGAAAAATTTCAATTTCTCTTACTTTGAATCAAAAACAATTTCTGTACCAAATGTACCCGAAAAGTAGTGCTCCACAGGGTATATTTGTGATGGTGCTATTCCAACCAACTGATTACCCATTTTGATTTTATTTATTATGTTTTAATCTTATTTATTCTTTAATACTATTTTTATTACACATAAACTATAAATTGTTTTTATTTACTTTTTCTTAAGAACGATTCGTAAACTTGACTCCAGCTGATTTAGTATGTTATCATATTTGTATAGTTTGTGTAAATAATAACTAAAGACAGGGTTGCTCAAATAATTGTAGAACGAAAAAGTGTTGTGTTATACTCGTAAAGTATGATACCAAAAAACTTTTTAGTAGTAAATCGCAAATTTATGTTAATTTCATAGTTCTTGGTTATCATAGTAAATTCGTGTTAAGATGTTAAAATATTAAAGTTAAAATCATTGTTGCACTCTCTTATGAGTTGAGAAACTTGCGTTGTGTTTTATAAGTGATCTGTTAATTGTGTCACAGTAAGTTAAAATAATATCAATTAGTGTATTATCTCAGAAATATCGTTAATTGTACAGTAATTAGTAGCTTTTCCATATAAAAATCTTAAAGTTAATTGAGACAAAACAGCACAATAATATGTATAAGTTATACTTACGTATTATACGCATTTCACACGTAGCTCTGAACACCACTTAAAGCCTAGTACTAACATTCATTTCGTATCAAAAATTGTCATAAAACTGTATATAATAAAATTTTACAATAATAACATTTTTTTATATTGAATTTCATGTTAATTTTTCGTATGAACTCGATTAATACTAAGTTTGTCTTAAACTTAGTATTGAAGCATGTTTCAACGATGAAGTATGTTTAAATATAAAAAATATGCAGGTGTATCAACAATCAAAAAAATATTGATATAAACGATCAGAAAATAAGTTTAATTTCAATTATAGTGAATACTATGTTTAGACAGCCAAATTATTTTAATTTCGTAATAATAAAATTGTTAATTTCGAAAGTATTCATACTTCTTCAAATTAAGAAAATAATATGGTTTTTGTTTACCATTCGAATTTTAAAATTACATGCTCCAAATTGCATTTGGGAAATTTAAAAGTTGATTATTATAACTATGAAGGATTGCATTCAGTAGATTTATTAGCTTTAGTGGATTTCAGGTATGTGAATTATTGTACTTCACTCTATTTTAAATTAATAACATTAATAACTAACTCACATTTATTCAAAAAAAGGCACTTTTTTGTTATTTCAACTTCATCTTTTGCTTAAAACTTGTCTTACGCATAGTTGCATTTGAAATGTCACTTAATTTCAGTTAAGGCCATTTTCCTTAATTTCGTTCTAACCTTAAAACTGAATTTTGTATGGAATTTTGTAATTTCGCTGACACGAAGACGAAATTAAAATATTGGCGAAATTAGGATGTGTCTGAATATAGTATAAATTTTGATAACTCTTTAAACACTGTAAAACATTGCGAGTTCAGCATTCATATGAATTTTATTTGGATATGTCAGTATGAATTTCATTGATATCTAGTTTCCCTACTAAATATTGTATATTTGAGGGAAAATTACTGTTAAGCTTTATTTTGAGTAAAATAGGTATTTTGATTTGCTTTTATCATAATTCGCGTAATTTACACTGCTGTCGGTAATATTATAAATCGAATAATTGGTGTATATGTGTGTAGGACTCCTACGAAATTGTGTTATGCTAGCGATGGTTACCAATATACAAATGAAGACTAGGATCTGAAATGGTAAACACGTTCAGTTGAAATTAAATCATGGTTACATATATACACGACTTTAGGTAAGACGTTGGAAAATTAGTATCAACTTAAAAGCATAAAAACCTATTAGAGAAAATTGATGAGTTTTGCATTGCCATTGACTGATATTGTCAAGAGTTTAGACATAAGCGTCTTTCTAAATATTATCCTAACATAATATTAATGAATATTATTATATTATTTTAATGCCTATATGTTAAGAAAATTAGAGGAACTTCATACAATATAAACAACCTTCACGATTTTTCACGTGTAAGTTCAGTACATTGACCGCTTGTCTACACCATCACTAAGGGTTATCTCTAAAATAATTTCAAGAAAATATTATTTGTTTGTTGAAATGATCACCTAATGATGCAAGATGGAAGTATATGAGATCTCACATATGTAATATGTAAACAATTATAATGCAGAATCTCCATTAGATATAGTAAATGTAAAGAATATATACATACATATATATGTCATAAAATATATATACTCTTTTCGTTTACATTATAATGTTTTAGTTGGTTACATAATTAATATATATAATTATTAACTATTTGTGGCGTCGCTTAAGATTAAAATCTGGTTATTGAACTTATTTTGTAAATATGTAGTAAAATTGCATATTAAGCAATTTTATGAATCATGATAGACATTGTTGTTCTCGAATGGAAACATGTAATTCAGCGCAGTTGGAATTAATTAATTTTTTTATTCATTTTTCAACGCTATATAAACTGGGAACTGCAAGCAAGATGACCAATTTGAATAATTACCTCAAAGTGATACATTAAACCTAATATGAAACTATTTGCAATTATATTCGTAGTAGCAGTTGCTAGCTGTGTACAGGTATAAGAATATAATTTATTAAAATATTTTAAAACATATTCAATACTTTATATTACAGGTACACTGCAACTCGGCAAGACGTTCTTCAAATAGAGGTAATGACAACGACTCGTCAAACGAGTCCTCCGAAGAAAACTCATGGAAAAACAATCGGGATATGCAGGATATCTTTGCAGCTTTTAGAAACTCAAATCATGGAAGTAATTCTGAATCAATCTCGTGGCGTATGACTGAAACACAATTTCCTGAAGCAATTCCTTTCCAAGTAAAAATAACTGAACGGTTAAACGGTTCAGGTCCATTGGCTGACAAACCAGAAATTAAACAATCTATACTTCGATTGGCTAATGACAAGTTGGATGCGTGCAAGACACCAAGTGGCGATAAACTTGATAGAGCTTGTGTTGGCAGACATTTGGGTCAAATGATGCAAATGATAGCTGCAGTAGAAAATTCTAGTCGACATTATCCAGGACAAATTTAGGTAAATTTAAGATGTGCATACAAATTGTAACAAAAAAAATACATCATAAATTAGCATTACATATTTATTATTGTAACAAAATATGTGCCAATAAAATTAAATGATAATTTAAATTTATTCAATTAAACATTTCAAAAAATATATGAACTGAATATATAACCATATATAGATATTCAATATAAAATAGGTCTAACATTTTATGGGATTACATTTATCCTTTTTGGCATATTTGCTTTTGTCATATAGCATAGTCTTGAAACGTTCTTTGCGTTTTGCTTCCATTCTGTTACGCCGAAAAAAATCTCTTTTATGCTCTATTGATGTTGTAACGTCTTGACAATCTTTTGATGGAAAAATTAATGTCCAGCCACCAAATATTGTGTCAATACCGCCACAAGTACGACAAGAACCTTGAAAATGATAAAGCCAATAAAAATACTATACTAGAATTGATTCAATTTAATATTAATATAAATACCAATAAATGTCGCCATTATTCCAGAATGTGCAGACTTACTTTCAGTAAACATATAAAATGGTCCACCGTATTGATTCATGGTGCTACCCATAAAAGACCATTCTGCATCAATGACACTATGATGTTTTGGTGGAACACGTTCGCTAACTACAATGTGCAAATCTTTATTTTCCTTTTCAGGTTCTCCCAATGTACGTGTCGTTTTTGCCAGTGATAATTCAAAATGTACACCCATTACATAGGAATTCCATGAGCCTGCTATATCACAAGGTGCTCCTGTAAGATGCATAATTGTATTAGTATCTGATAGTACGTTATGTAAATATAAACAAATACAATATTTATATATATGTATATATATAAAATAAGTTATTAGAAGTGTTTATGTTGTATTGTTTATGATTGGTTTAGTGTTTTTGTTATTAAAATAATTAATAGTTTTTAAAATATTTTGTTCTACCCGTTGCTCTATTGTTCTTTTCTGTTTTTGTAAAGAAGTTCCCGTTGAAACATTATAGCAAATAAGTTCCTAAATAAGTTTAAGTAATAAATAAATAATAAATATATATAAGCATTTTCGTAAATCAATATTAACAAAAATAAAATCATTTTAGTGACAAAATTATATTAGAAATGTAAAATATTTAACTTTTGTTAAATATGAATAAAAAAAAAAAATTTAAAAACAGTCTTTTTTGCTTTTCTTTACATTCATAATTTTTAATAATTAAATTTAATGAAAAATGGCTTTTCTATTCTAAAAAACTATAATTCCATTGGCAATGTTTAGTAGACGCCCAAAAGAACTATAGAGCAATACGAAAGAACTAAAACATTCAGCAATATTTCAGTTGTTCTCTTCTTTTGTGTTCGTGGAGATTGCGGGAGTGTGATTAATTATATTTCAAGATTTCAAGGATTGTGATGTATTATTTTGCGTTACGATAGAGTATTAGAACATTTTTAATTTTTCTTGTTTCTTAAAATTTTTTAAGAGTAAGTAAAAATTTCTACTAAATGATCAAAAAATGTGTTAAATAAAATATATAATGCTTGATATATCACAGTGTAATTACACTAATCACAGTGTATATAAAGAACTTTAAAACGCAAAACTTAAGGTAAAATTGGGTTGAGAAATATTTCCATATCTCTCTTACAGAGTTGTGTGCTTTAATAAATATTTAATAAATATCAGAGAATATTTCCTTTGGTTTATATATATATTTTGTAGGTTTTTACATGATAACTGCAAAATATAAGGTCTGTTCCACAAGCTACTCGTAGTAAATTTTCTCAGCAAATTTTCGAGTAAATGAGAGTATTTGAGAAAGCGTAACATCCCTGTCGAAATTTGAAAATGCTACACAGACTTTACTCCATTTTATTTCAACTAAAATTTGTGTTGTTGTGTGAATCAGCTGTTTTAGTTTGAATTTAAATTTTTGTATTGTTTATTTGCGCGGCACTGGTGTTCTCACCAGACTTTATGCAAAGCTGTTCCATGAAAATCCGTGAAAAGAGCGAAATTTGGCACTTTATTTGTGTTACGATCTCAGTTTGTACTTTACTTGAGTTTTAATTGAGTTTTACTACGAATAACTCGTGGAACAGATCTATAGCGTATTGTATTTATGCTCAGTATACTGAGCAAAGATTAAACCACGAAGACTGAAGTAGTAAGTAATATACTGAATAATATTAATTGTTATAAATATGTTTTTATTTAAATTAAATTTTTTTTTTACTTTACCATCACAGGATAATGTTTTGTGTTCTATTTTTTTATTCTTTTCACATTGAATGCGCTCTAATTTACTTAATACTTTATCTAAAATATAGGATGCATCCCTGCATTCATCCTCTGAAGTAGGAGCGTCACATTTAGAGAGTTCATCCGCGGCTTTCGTGGTTTTAGAGCTACTATTTTTGGCTTTCCTTTGACTATTATTGACTACATAATACAACATCAATTTATTTGAAATTATTTTATAAATATTGAATAACATTTCAGTACTTACCTGACTTAGCTATATTTTTTTTAAGATCAGTATTAAATTTTGGATCTGTCTTTAAGTTTATCTGTGGGTCCATAGTAGCCGTAAGTTTTCGAGCTAAGTCCAATGTAGTCGTGTTCATTTCCCTCGCCACATTTTGCAAAAGGCTTCCTGCTTGAGACATAGTTGTTAAATCATTAGTATTTGTGGTTAACACTGCAGGAAATGCATCGTTAATACTTTGAATGATTCGAGTATCGCAGCGCTTCTGTACATTAACCAAATTATTGTTATTGTCCAAGATTCGACGTTTTTTAATGGACTTCTTTTTGTTTTGAGCGGTGATACTATTCAACTCCATCGATAAATCATTACGTTTTGCAATGATATCTTCTTTACTCCAAGACGAATCAATAGATTTTTTTGCATTCTGTTTAGATGATACGTACATATCATCACTGACTATATTGTGGCGTTTCTTAAAATCATCCCACCAGTTATCAATGCTGCTTAAAGTGTTTTTGATGTCTTCCTTTGAATTGTCTTTTAAAGGCGCACTCTGAGATACTTTTAGTTTGTTTTCTATAGTATTTCTCTGTTTTTTTAAACTAGAGTCAGTAAAACTTTTCTCAGATTTAAGTTCTTTGGCCGATTCTTTACTGTCTTTTACATTAGATTCGAGTTGCTTGGAGTTGAAATATCTGTCTGTATTCTCTTCCGAGCCTTTTTTTGTATCGTACTTTCTTAATTTGTTTAAAATATTTTTCATCTCTTTATCCTGTTCTGCACGCCATTTATTTTTAGCAATTACATCGGAAGATTCATTAATTCCTTCTATAAATTTTTGTACATTAAAATCTTTCAAAATATCGTTTATCACCTTACGTTGTTTTGTGTATTCCGAGGGCTTGTTCTGCTTTGGTGCTTTGGTATTTTTACTATTTTCAACAAAATTTTTGTTGTTTACTCTCTTAATCAATTCATTGACTTCGTTTTCATCCACATCTACATTAGTTTTGCCTGAATCTAAACTTTCGTTTGAGTTCTCGTCTACTTTTTTATTTTTATCTTGATCTGGACTTTCATTTGTACTATCCTTATCAACTGAGTTCTCTAATAGCTTTTTTGTATTGAAATCTTTAAGTATGTTTTGAACGTCTTCATCTTTATCTTTTTCAGAAGAAGTTTTCTGGGAAGATTTCGATTTTCGAATATGAGATACTTCACTAGTTTTCTTATTATCTGATCTCACCTTATCTGCATTTCTTTCTGATTTTACTTTGGCTTTGTCTTTATGATGGATTTCAGTTGATTTCTTTTTTTTATCAGCTTCATGAAGATGCATAATGTAGTCTTCGTAAATACTTTGCTTCATAGGAGAAGCCTTCTTTTTTTTAATTGGATCTGTTTTTTGCTTAAGTTCTTCTTTGGGATTAAGTTCAAATCGTTTTTTAATCTTATCAATAGTTTTGTGAAATTCCGCTTTAAGAGTAGGAATAATCGCAGAACGTTTTTGATCTTTATCGTACTCCATTGGATAATTATGTGCAAGCAGTGACGGATCCTTGAATGTCAACTCGCTTTGTATTTGATCCAGACGCTTTTTGAACACATCGTAGAGATGACCGTTGTAACCGTTTTCTTCGGATTCTTCAAAACTTTTTGTTTTGATTCCAGAAGCAAATGATAAATAAGCCGAAAATAAAAGCAAAACTAGAAATATTTGTGAGTAAAAGACATTACTAACCATTTCATTTTGTAAGAATATTTTTTTATATTGATAGAAACTTTTATTTTATTTTTCTATTTAGACATTTAAAACTTTTGATGTATTTTAAAAACTTATTCAATTATAGGAAATAATTCATCCCAAATTTTATACCGGTCTTGATATATACCACCGGTTTTTGTTACAAGCTCTGTTCCAATATCCAAATACTCCTTTTGATTTGCAGTATATGGAGTCCAATTTAAATTTTTCAAAAATTGGTCTTCGTGGTTGTTAGGATCACTAAAAAAGAAAGGGATTGGTTAACACATCTGAAATACAAGCATACTAAGCCAGAAGTAAAGTAGAAAAAATGACAATAATATTTTTAAATCAAATACAGTCGTATTTAAATTTTTGTATGAAATATCGAGCAAACGTCTGAATACATATTTTCTTTGCGGTCTATTATTACACGTATTTCTGAGAACACAACACCGAAGAGAAACACACGCATTTCTTAGGATCACTATGCTAAATTTTAATGAGTTCGCTTAGGGTGTTTATTAAACCGATTTTTTTATTACTTGAATATCGCGATTCAAAAGTAGTATATCTATACGTATAAACGTTGTATATATATATAGTATAGTATAACGCACGAATAAAGTAAAATTTTCTATTATAATTATATATTTACATAACAATATAATAATTGAGTTATCTGAATTTACCCTTTTTTAGCGAATTCTGTCCACATTCTTGTCAAACGTTCAATTGTATCGTTTTCCACATCAGTTTCTTTAAACATGGGTGTTAAACCTGGTACATGTAAAAGATACAAAAGTTCATCATGATGTACAGGACCTAAAAATGTCATTAGCTATAGTATAAAAACTGAAAATGATGTAAAAGAGCATACCGTAAGTTTGATTTTGTGCATCCCGAAATATACTATAACGTCCTTTGTATGTAAAGATGTATGTGTAAACGGGTAAAAAGCGTGATACCAATGTCAAAAATCGGTGGTACCCAAATCCGATAACAGCATCACTAAAAAGTTTTCCAAAGTCTTCGAGAGAGTCAGGAAAACGTAAAGTTTCATTTCTTAAATATTCCGAACGTAATATTTTACTGATTTCCATAGATTTAGGCGTGCCTCGTTCGTACAGGAAAGCAATCGGTGCATATTTTTCAAAATTATCATTATAATATTGAGTTAATGTGGCATTGATTAAAGTGACTAAATTAATCAAAAAAAAAAAAAAAATTGATTAATACCTGTATAAATATAAGATTCACTTTACTAACAATACGCTGTATACATGAATTCCAATTCAGTAATCCCTGTTATTAGAGGAACTTTATAAATATTTCCACTTAGCATTGTTTTGTATGGATCTTCAATTAAATAGCGCTCTTGTCCGAAATCTTTTTCTATTACTGGTTTCCAATTTAGAATTGGCTGTCCATTGAAATCGAACATATCATCCATTGAATTTACAAAATCCAACATTGGCTTCTAAAAATTTATTTTGTTTAATTGGTTGTATTTAAATTCATTGCTAAATTATATGGTGCCAATAACAATATTAATTGATGAGAAAATTTATTAGGTCTGTCTCTAAATTTTTCCTACTCACTTGTTTCAAACATTCCGTTAGTTCCCTTACTGAATGTGTTGTACAATTCAAAAGCTGTGCTTGTCTGTTTGCTAAATCAATTCCATCGTATTCATAATTTAACTGCGATAGTGGTGATGCACTCATTGCTATGCCGCGATGAAATAAACCTTTTGCCATTGGAGATAACATGTGGAGACCAATACTTAGGCTACCAGCACTATAACCAAATAAGGTCACTGAATTTGGATCGCCACCAAAATTTTTAATATGACTCTGTATCCAACGTAAAGCCATTACTTGATCCTTTAAGCCAGCATTACCGGGCGCATCCTCATTACCGGTAGCTAAAAATCCCAACGTACCTAAACGATAATTCATTGTTACAAAAACAATGTCGCGATCCATTAAATTTTGGGGACCCGCAAAATTTTTACTTTGACCGGATACAGCATAAAATCCACCCGGATGTAAGTATACAACCACTGGCTTAGAAGCATTTAAATCTCTGGTGTATACGTTTAAGCGAAGACAATCTTCTGATAAATCTGATTTATCCTCATTTTTTTGTGGACACATTGGTCCGTCAATTGTTGCATCAAAAATAACTGGAGACCATGGTTCTACAGGCAATGGATTTTTAAACCGAAGATGTGCAACAGGCGGCTGAGCATACCGTATGCCACGAAAAGCAAAAAAGCTTTTACCTAAACGCGATTCAAGAGTTGTGCCTTGTATTTGCCCCAAATCTGTTGAAACTTCTATTGACTCTGAAGACACATACTTTATTAAAAAAATAATATATATAAAAATTAACATTTTTATTGATAATTTTTGCAGTTTATGTATTCGCTGAAAGTTTAAGTTTGACTGAAGAAATTCACATTAAATATGGCCTTTTATAACATTTGAGTAAATTTATTCTTAAAAAGTGCTGGGAATTTCCCGGTAAATAAGAGTTTACATTTATTTCAGTATGCACAGATATGAGTACCTCACCATATAAATAACTAATAAAAATAAAATATATAATTCACAAAACAAAAATATTTAAAAAAAAATCTGAATTTTGTAATAATTTTTTAATTACATTGAACTTATTTTAAAAGCAAACGGCTTAATTACGAATTACAGTCTTGGCACTGTTTGGTTTAGCTCCCGTAGAAGCAAAATTGTACTTATCTCACGGTGAAGGCGTGTTAAGGGGCAGCTATAAATTTAGTCAATAAAAAAGTAAAAAGACACTACTATTAATTATTTATTATACGGTATTTATATAAATGTATTTACTAAAAAAGTTTTTAATGAATCTGTTGCCATTAAATCTAGAGTAAAAATAATATGTCGGTGACTGTACCTACAGTACTTCATAGTGATTTTAGATTGATAAAAGGAATTTTATAAGATTTACTTATTAATGTACTTTTATAGTACTGGATTCATTCGCTTATTTCTATAGTGTTAAATGCATTCTACGATTTTCCACTTCCATCAAGCTCTTTATCTCCTCCGTCATCTTAGTCATTATAGACCACTTCAGTTTTTATCTATTTTAGTTTGTTGAATTGTCAGAAGCGGTTTGTCACTGTAGACTTATGGGTTAATGATAATGTGTAAATAATTTGATTTTTCACATTTTGTAATTCATTTTATTATTTTTGTTATACTTTCCAATAGTATACACCAGGGCTGTCCAAAGTACAGTCCGCAGATTACATGTGGTCCGCGGTTAATGTTTGTGTGGAATGTTTTTAATCTACTACAATTACGCAAATTTTGTTTTAGTGTTCTGGTAAGCCAACATTTTTTTATTTTTATGGTATATCAAATAAATGAATTTAAATTAATAAAACTAAATTTAACATTATAGCCGTATTTTTATTTTTGTCGAAAATAATTAGGAACGTAAGTATTTGTTTCAGCGGCCCTTTAATCTGTACAGCGATTTGTAATGGCCCGCGATCGCATCAGATCTGGACAGCCCTGATATAAACTGTTATAGAAAATGCTATTCTATAGAAATCAGTTGTGCCGTTTTATCAAATACAAATATGCTGTCATTAGACAAAGCAAAGCAAAAAGCAATGTAAGATATTCACCATGTTAATACTACTCTTAAAAGGTATTATGAGGATCTAAAATATATTATACTCTCGCGTAAGTATATTAAAAATAATTTTGCTTACTAAAAGCTGTATAACATCAATTTTGGAAAAAAGTCTTCTCTTCGAAGTATACATTTTAAAATAACAACTATCAGCTAGCAGGAAACTTAAAAGTAGATTTTTTATGTGAATTTTTCTAACATTGATTTAAAAGTCTAAATCTAGCGCGAAGGACCTAATAGTCTATGCCCTTATTCGTAGTTAACTTTAAAATTAATTTTAATGTTAGCTTACAAATAAATAAATAAAAGTCTGCTTTTAAATAGATTTTAAGACTCACGAAAACATAGCCATCGTTACTGATAATACCTTTTAAAATATTAAATACTAAAGTATAAGAAAGTATGTTGCTTGTGTAAATCGGGCTACCTATTGGTTACCATTGGATGTGACCAATAACGATACACGTCTGTAAAGGCTGATTAACGAAATAAATAAACTTATTATATTATATGCAACAATAAGACTTAAAAAACATATATATTATTTTCTAAATTTATTGGTTTATCTAATAAATTCCGAAGAAATTTATTATATATGCGACCCATTCGGAATTATCAAAGATTAGCTGTACACTAGAAAACCATAATATCCGAACAATACTATGCACGTTTAATAAAACAGCAATAGCAAACAGTTAGTTTTAAAATAGTAAAAAGTAAAATAGTAAATACTTTAAAAATTTAATACTCACTATTTAATAATTAAACGAATTGAAAAGAATATGTCAAATACAACTCTGCCCAATGCAGCAACTAACTTCACAGATCGCGGCGAACGGACGCTTGTATCTTTGTGCTGTAAACGCCGTTAAGACGCAAAGCTGCGACATTAGTCCAGGTGTTTTCAAATTTGATTAGAATTTTGTTTTATTTTGAATTTTTTAAATTATCTAATATCAAAAATATATTTTTATATTTTTGATATATATATATACATTTAACAGAAGTAATCGACTCACAATTTAAATATTTCGAAAAATATAAATTAGTTTAAATAAAACTGCAGCGAAAAGGACCAAACAAGAAATCTAAAATGGCGCCAACAAAGAGTACCCGTGCAATTCCCAAACAAGCATCTGCCATACCTAGTGACGAGCATGTCTTACCTATGATTCGAAAAGGTCTACCCAGACGGACAGCCCAAAATATAGTAGATCAAAATATGGACATGGCCCAGACGCGTGGTAAGCGAAAGGCTGACAATAGCCCAGTAAAAAATGAAAAAGTGAAGCGTTCAGCGTTGGGGAATCTCACGAATAACGTAAAAATGATGACCATGACCAGCACACTGCATCCGGAGGAGGATGCTAAGCAGCAAATCACATTAAAAAAGAAAGACAGCCAAATCGGCCAACATGAACAAATATTAAAAGTTCTTGAAACCGTTGGTGGTAATATATTAAATCGGCATACACAACATAAAATTACAACAAGAGCGTCTGCAAAAAGTTTATTAATTGAGGAGACAAATAAAATTATGACATCGGCACCAATAAAACTTAAAAAAAATGGTCCTGTTGAACCACTTGCTCCAATTGCACCTAACATACCAATGCCGATCAAAGTACAAAATAAACCTACACGTCGTATTTCCAATGAATTTAATAAGACTGAAGAGAGCTTATACATGTCCGCCCTTGAAGACATATCCAGTTCGGAATCCGTACGCTTTTCAGGAAATTTTGATGCTGCCAAAAGACGTTCAGCATTAATGCAATGTAAACCTGAGGAAAACCTTAATGGTCTACCAAAGGATGTTGAAGACTTCGATAAATTAAATTGGGATGATCCTTTTGCAGTATCACATTACACAATGGACATTTTCAATTACCTAAAGGAACGTGAAGAAAAATTTCCAATTACAGATTATATGGTAAAGCAAGTAAATCTGTCGAAATGGATGCGTTCTTTATTAATTGACTGGATGGTTGAAGTACAGGAGACGTTTGAATTAAACCATGAGACGCTCTATTTAGCTGTTAAGATAGTTGATCTCTATTTGTGTCGTGTTGTAATTAGCAAGGATAAGTTACAATTGTTAGGAGCCGCTGCACTTTTTATAGCTTGCAAGTACGACGAACGTACACCTCCATTAGTGGACGATTTTCTCTATATATGTGATGGTGCATACAAACACAATGAACTTATAAAAATGGAAATGAATGCGCTCAAAACAATTGACTACGATATAGGCATTCCTTTGTCATATCGTTTCCTACGTCGATATGCTCGTTGTGCCAAAATACAAATGCCCACATTAACGCTTGCACGTTACATATTAGAGTCAGCGTTAATGGACTATGAAACAATAACATTTAGTGATTCGCAAATGGCAGCAGCAACTTTGTTTATGGCTTTGCGCATGACTGGTGAAAAGAAAGCATGGACCTCGACTCTTGAATATTACAGTGGATATAAATTAGAAGAGTTTGCTGAAATTGTAGTAGTTCTAAATGCTGGATTACACCGCAAACCAAAAGCTACAATAAAGACAATAAGAAGCAAGTATTCTCACAAAATATTCCACGAAGTCGCCAAAGTTCCACTAATGACCACTGCAAAATTATTCGAAGATAATTTAGACTTTAATAGTAGTTTTAATTTGGATAACTTAAGCAGTTTCCCGGATTCTAGTTAAAATTATATTTTGTTAATGTTTTTATGTATTTGTTGTTTTGTGTTGTGCAAAAATTTTCTATGTAACAAACATATTTTCATATTATCAATGTAATTACCATTGTCATTACCATTTATAACAATTTATTACAACAAATTTATTACATTTATATTTTGTATACTAAGAGTCAATATTATATTTAAATCATTAATCGTGCTTTTAGTTTTTACATATATATATTGTTTAATATAAAGTGATGAAGATATGCGCATACAACATATTTAAAAACAAGAACTAGAACTGAAGAATTTTTAAATTTATTAAATACGCTTTTTTTATATACCCAAATGAAATGAAAAGAACCATGTGTTTAGTAAATTAAGATTTAATATATTTTAAAATAAAAGCATTTTGAACATTATAAATTATTTATAATTTAGAAATTGGATAAAATGTGAAAGAATTATTCGAATTATATTATTTTGTTATATGTATTATTAAATAATTTGTCATTTGACTTTTACATATTTTGTTTATGAAATTAGATTATTTTTTAAACTTTTATTTGTTAACATACTTAAGTTTATTATTAGATCGTAAATGTTTTGTTTACTAATTTTGTCACTTATATTATTTAGTTTTATATTTGTTTTTTGACAATATTTGATTTGTTTTATGTTATATTTTTTTTGTTTTAAAACTTTTTGATCATGTAAAAATAAACTTGGACTTAATAATTTTTATGAAAAAAATGTTGGTGAACGAATTATTATTTTATTTGTATTTCGTTTTTCAATTGTATATGTTATGTGTCTAGATTTATATGGTAAAATCGCTATTGTTTGAAAGCATTAAAGTGTATAAATACAGTATAACTGGTAAGGAGCTGTAATTGTATTAAGTTAGCAGGGATATGTTATGAAAACTATGGTAAAAGTTCTAAATCGAAATAGTACTTTTTGTGATACTCAAAATGTTTTCAAAATTTTGATTTATAATTACTGCAAACTGCAACGATTAAAATATTGTGCGTAAAACAAAATACTATGATGTATCTTTAACTTCCTTTGTTGTATATTGAGTGTTTATAATTCAAGCATTATTTATATTTATATCGATCCTATTACATATTGAGATCCTATTGAAATAAATTGCCAATTGTAATATATCTATAAAAATCATGTATTATATGTCTGCTACTTATTAAATATGTTGTCATTTGTTATTAATTATTAATTATATTGTAGTTGCTTGAGCATTTTAGTTGGATGTTTGTAATAAATGAAATAATATGTGGGTACCATTATTATAAGACATATTTTTTAAATATTATAGTCATTCTGGCGATTATTGGGAAATAAAGTAATGTTATTTCTAAATTTTTCTTACTAGAAAATTCTTGTAGTAACGTTTTGTTCTTATTTTATTATTTAGATATAAATTTTGCTTTAATGATTGTTTTAGTCGCTTAATTTAGTACGAATGCATGATTCAAGTAGCATTTAAAAATTACAGTATGGAATAGGTTTTAACCGCTAAATTTTGGAAACATAAGGTTGAATGTTTATGTATAGTGTTTCATATATAGTTTAATTGAAATATATAACATTCTAACAGGGCAAAATGCAATTTGACTGTATTTTTGAAAGGAAGTGATTTTCTTTAGCATTTCTAAAATAGTAATAATATGTAGACATAGGTCTGTAATCTAAGAAATACTTGTCAAGCACTCTAACTACCAACACGTGTTTGGTGTGTAGCCACTACTATATATTTCTACAATTGAGTTTGGATGAATTATGCATATGAGTATAGTATACACGATTTCACAATAAAAATCTCTGCATGAGTGGATATCGAATAAACTGTTTCTTATACTTTGTACATCTTTAAACTGTTTCATCAAGGCACAAATAATAAAACCCAGGATTTTAAAATAGTTAGTTAAAACCTATTTACACATTGAAATACGCCATTATAAAATAGTAATAATAATAAATTATAATTCAAATAAATATTTCATTCATGTGTAGAAATTAAACCATCTGTATTTGGTGTGTCAAATATGAATACATCATAGATTAGTAGTACAATGAACTATATTCCTTGTAAAAATTATTACGTATATCTTTTACCTACCTACCATCGTACCGATTGTGTCTTTTGCCCTACTGCAATGCAATTTCTTTCAATGATCAGTCATGCATACATACATATATGTAAATATATGTGTATATATTCAAGTATGAAAAAGGCATCTTTCTGATATTCTTTTATACAATAACGCATGGAAAAAAATGTAAGGATAAGTTTACCTCGATTTGGTGAGCTACAAATTGTATTTGGTATACTTTGTTTGATACGTTTTGCAAAGAAATAAGAAAGATTGTATTAGACAGATGAAAGGGTTTAACATTTGAATAATATGTAAATACAGGTAGATTTCTACAGAATCATTTTTAAAAAATTAATTTTTTGAAACAATAAAAAATTGTAGCTAATTACTATTATAGTAAAAATATAATTCAGTTTTGAAAACTACTACTAACTATAGTGTATAATAGTTCGATGAAAAAGATGAACTAATGTTAAGTGAAATAATCATAAGATAGGATAATATAATGTAAACTATGTATAAAAAAACATATTTTTTTGCTTTGTTTGTTTTGTAGACAATTTAAAACTGACTGATTGCTCATATTCTGGTTCATACGCTTAAGCGGGATAAATGTGCTTAATTATCATTAACATTTTAAACGTCATAATTTTATTTTTTATGTGGCCAATTGTAATATATTTCTTTTTTTCAGAAATTTGTTCTAAATTACGACAAGTTGTAATTCCTATAATATACATAATGTATTGGTCTCTTTAATTACTTCAGACTTTATTAACCCAATGCTCTATATATCAGCTTTTAATTATCAGATAAAATATCAAGTATTTTGTCGGTTTGGCATAAACAAATACAATTAATTAAGAAGACGCATAGGTACTTGTTGTAATTGTCGTAATCTACATACATATATGAACGCTTCATGTCACTAAATTTTATATTTAATTTAATATATATAAAGATCAATATTCTTTTTTTCTGAATGTTAATTTATAAAAAACAAATTTCAAAAACACTCAGGTCAATATTTTTTATTGCTAAATATTAGTTTTTAAAAAACAAATCTGACAGACACCAATATATTAGTTTATTTATAAAATAATATATAGGGAGGTCTATATAATTTATTTCTAAATGTTAATGTTTAAAAAGCATATACCACATGTAAAGTACTACAGTAAAAATTCTCCTAACAAAGACGAATGAAGACAATTTTTTAAGGACGAAATGTTTTTCATTACTATTTCGGGCAAATTAACTATTTTTGGGCGGATAATAATAAGTAAGATATTAATAAGTAAGATAATAATAAGTAAGATAATAATAAGTAAGATAATTTTTTGTTTTTAATTCCTAAATGTAGTGCCAGTGTTTATTGAATCTTATATTAAAAGAATATTAATGATTAGGTTTATTTAAAACAGTTTAAACTGTACTATATGTTTTTCAAACTAAATTTTTTTTAATTCTTAAAAATTTGCCAGTGTTGATAGAATCTTATATTAACAGAAAGTGAACATTATTATTTAAATTATCTCAAAATAATAGAGTGAATATGTGTACATACATAGATATAAACTGTAGCGTAACTGCAAATGTCGTCTTATACCAAACGTTCTATGTTGTCTTTTTTCTAAATATTCAGTCCACAATTTGTTTTTGTAAATATATTTGTCAGTTCCTTTATTATCCTTTTAGTATTCTTATGATATACACATCTGCATACATATATATATACAAAGTAAAAAAAAAAAATATACAAAACACATGTAGTGTGCCAAAAATTTTGCATCTTGCACATTTTCAATAAGAGAATTTCTCCTAGTGTTCGTTATGTATCCTTTTTGTATTATTCTTAAAAAAAATCTATTCGGTTGACCTATTAATAATTAAAAAAAACAAAAGAAAATATGAAATTGTCTCTTTGTATATTTTGGGTCAAAAATAAAAAAAAAAACAGCGTTATATGCTTTTATTAAATCTAAGTTTAAAATTTAGAATCCAGGCCTATTGAAGGCACCATTGTATGTACCACCAAAACCAGAGCCAAAACCTTGGCCGTTATTGTAACTTGTGCCAACATGATGGCCAACCTCTTTATATTCAGTATTAGTCTTAAGTCTATGATCAAATGTGCTGTAACTACGATCGCCTTCATATCTGTGATTGTAGTTATCTGCCGGATAAGGATAACCATTATTATTTCCTTGTGCATGATTTGGATAATGATTGTGATGAAAACCAGTGTTATATTGGCCAGAGTTCGAGTAGCCATTATGTCCATGACCGAAATTACTGTAACCATTAGTTGGGGGATTTGTGGGATTGCCAAAA